ACACCCACATTGCCACAAAGTCTCTAGAGAACATCTATGAAAGCATGTTATATTAAACTACAGTGGCAGAATCTATGATAAGAGATTGCACAAGCTTGCTCTAAAAGAGAACTGCACTAAAGCTTTGAAAAACTTGATTTAAGTCAGTGTCTTATTGCAGTGCAAATCATAAAGTGGCAGAGGTCAAGGTTCATCACTCCTGTCCAATAAACTAGAGTTATTGGGGTAATATGTTGTTTTCTATGAATCACTATAAATCTGTGAATAACAATGCGAAGAATTCATGCACAGTTAATTAACTAAACATGAGTGTGTAAAAGAAGACATTTAATTCATATATATATTTTAAAGTTTTAAGTATTTCTGATTTTTGTGACTTTGCCTCTTCCTTGGCCTCCCTTACTTTCTGGGTCTGCAGGCATTTCTCCACCAGTGTTTAGAGCATATGATATGACAAATTTCAGCATATAATGACATGTTATGTGAAAGTTTTCAGGTTCAGTTCACACAACCATCTTGTAATAAAGCTGTAACTGCTGTTTGGACAGCATGAAACCATAAAGAGGAGCATAATGGCTTTCTAATAGGACATTTTCTGCCATGACCATAGAAAGATCTGTTGAAAAATAAATTTTTACGCCTGTGAAGACAGGTGTACCATGCTGTATATCTCTACCACAACTTTACAATGTAACATGTACATAACTACTACAGTAATGACTGTTATCATACATACTGTGTGCTTGTGAATACATTTTGCCTGCCCTACAGCATTTCTTACCCCAAAAATTCAACAACTGCCCAACCAGATAAAGGTGAACAACAATAACAGACCAAAGACAGTACCTCTGCTGCAGGCTAGTATGACTGGACTGCAGTTTCTGTGCCCAAATTTTCAGAACAGGCTTTGCTGTCTCCACTGTTCCTCTCACATCATTACGAGTCGTTTCTAGAAAAGCACACAGATGAAGCTCGATGAGATCCTTTTCACTTGAAGCATATGTATCGTTTTCCACAGTGAGGTAGGCACATGAAAAACACTAGTTATATGGAGTCTGAATTGTGGCTTGTGGGTTTTTTCTAACCATCTGGTCTATTTTGAGGTGAGCTGGTTTTTCTGAGGTTTCTCTCATGCTTCTGTTGAAGCTTCGAAAGGTCCAGTTTTGTCACCAAGCGGCATTTGTGGTCCACAGGGAGAGTGTAGCACCAAAGCTCGAATCACAAAGAGATTCCAACATAAACAAAGTGATATATAGATTACACAAGAGAGCTTTAAAGTGTGTGTGTGTTACTCACCTGTCCGTCACCAGACCCTGTGATGAACTGACTGTTTTGCTCCATGAAGAACAGACTAAGCAGTGGATACGCTGTGAAACAAAAACTTCAGCATCTTCACTACATATTCTCTACATTTACAGGCTATGAGTGAAGAACCTCAATTTCTGTTGTATAAATATTAGTGTTAATAACTATAACCCGACCTGATAGGACAGCAGATTAAAAGAGTTTATCTCCCTTCTTCACATCCCAAATCTAATACAAAAAAAGAAAGAAAAAGTCATATGCATATGTATCTACAATATATGATATATACTGTATATATATTATTACCAGCTCTCTCTCTCTCAATATATATATCTATATATGACACAGTATATATATACAGTATATACATACATATAGAGTAAATATACATATATACACACACACATATCTGAAATTTTCATCTAAAATGAGAATTTTTATCAGGCCCCTATATATATGTTCAGTTATTTCACTTTAATTGCATATAAAATTACCTATACATTGCCATTTGAGTAAAATTACTGAACCTAAACATAGCAGCCTGATAAAAATTCTCATTTTAGATGAAAATTTCAGATGGCACTTAGAGGCTTTTGCATGATGAGCTTTCAAAACTCCAGGCGCCTCCTCTCTCTATAGGAATCACAAATACAGTGGCCCCAAGTTTTGGGTCTCCATTTAAAAATATAGCTGTTGTTTTATAATTTGATTGAAACATGTTTTATTACATAATGCAAACATGTTCTTAAGTTTAATTATGGCTTAAGCAGACAAATGCTGTTTGAACGAGATATGACCATTTATTTCTGATTTACAAGACAACAAGGGGCTTATTCAGATTTTTTTCATACACTAATTTACTGCAGGTTTCATATGAGTATTTCAATGTTATCTCATCTTTATGGGCTGGTCAATCACAGTCTGGGTAACGGAATGTTCTACATGCAGACTTTGTTCGACATTTCATCTGGAGATGGGTCAAAAAAGGCATTTGTTTCCTTTTTACTGTTTCAGCATAACTGCTTTTGTTTTCGATTCACTGAATCAAAATCGTGTGCATCTTATTTCATACCTCTGCATTCAATAGAAACACTCTGGAGCCAGAGCATGCAGTCATTTTTGCGCTCAGTGGACACAGTGACAGATGCACCACCCTGCTGAGCAATGTGCCAACAACTCTACCTGAGGCAATTCCACCTGGAACACAGATGTCATGTTTGGGAGATGGGACAAAAAAGTGATTGACAGAGAATATATTCCAGAGCAGATCATTCTTAGGTGTCACAGATTTATATGCTCTGCAGACGAGCAGACTTTTTCAGTCTGTTTCTGAATCAAGGTCTTTGCATGCGTTATTATCGTCTTTGATCTGTGTGTAGCAGCGATCAATGTCCCAGACAATAACCTAATCTTCAGAAGCACTACAGAGGTGGAGACGATCTCTCACCGTCCCAAAAGCCATGGCAGACCCATCACCATGGTGACCAGTGAGTTCCAAGGGAGGCTACAGGAAACATTCAAATTAAATTTAAATGTTAACTTAAATTGTTTAATGCTGTGCAACAATGTAGTCCTATTAAATGTTACTAATGATGGCACACAATTTACTGTTATATTGAATGGCTATATTACCTCTTTTTATCCCCAGAAATGAAAGAAATTCATTAGTTTGGTCTTGATGGTACTTGCCTTTATGCATAATTCATGGTAAAAAGACACTATCTTTATATAGTTTCTACATTAATTTGGAAATTAAATGTGAAAATATCTTTATGATCACAAATTTTAATGTTAGGTGCAATTAATTGCAGCAAAATATGTGAATAATTTGGTTACTTTTTCAGTCAGTTGACAATAATTATATATATTTGTTTATTGAAAATAGATATAGGTAAACAAAGACCTCCAGGTTGTTGTTTTCATAAATTCTTATATTCTTGTCCTGCCATGGGACAGCACAGTGAGAAGGACAGCAGGCCAGCTGCAGGTGGGACACTGGCTTGTTGCAAGTTAGAGAGAACCTCTCAATAAAATACTGCACTGAGGTCACAGCAGCCGTGGAGATCCCAATAGTCCCCTGTAACAACACATAATGAGAAAGTTTTAAATGTTTAGCGGGGCAAGATGTCATCTAACTGGCCCAGTTAATGGGCACATTCCATGAATACAGTGAACAATGGTGCCATGAGATTTTTTAAAGCATCAGCGGATAAGATATCCACTATATTATAAAAGTGGATATTTGTATATATTGTTTTCAATTTATGGGACTAGCCTGTTTATTAATAACTGTACACTAGCAAACTGGTCCCAAACTAGCTAGCCTCTAAGAGACAGCTTAAATGAAGACGTCTGAAGGCTATGCACCTGCTTTTACTGACCATCTGTTGAAAACTAACAGTTAGCCCTACATTGTTTTAGTTTTAGGCCGTGTTTTGTGGAAAGTGCCAATGACATCAGCTGCAAAGTATTTTGTTCATCACCTGAAAGTAAAATGTATTGCTGTGTAAGTATTGCAAATGTAACCCATATATAATTATACTGTGTGTGTAGTTAGTAAATGAAATTCCAGTTTTTGGCCTGTGACCCAGCAGCTTATGCGTCCATGCTGCTTTGGAAACTGAAGCCTTTCCGGGACGGCACACCAGAAGGGACACTTGCTAAGGTGTGGAGCAAAGTCCCTAAAGTCTTGTACTGTTGGTTTGCTGGCTTAGACGATTTTATTTGTTTGTTTATTTTTTATTTTATTTTTGAGTACACTGTAATGCGAAAAGAGTACATGCTGACACGATATACTATAATTGTGGAAGTTTTGTGTCTCTGGCTTATTGTAGAGATAATGTCATGTCTATAAAAACAATAAATGTTGTTCAAGTCTGATATAAAGACAGATACCTGACGACCTGACTGGTTGATTTTACTTGGATGCATCCGTATTATTCGTAGCGCAGCAGATTTGTTCTCTAGTTTATTATTTACACAGACTGTCCGACTATAGTACTAGTTAAAAAAGGGCAGGTAATTAATTTTCTATGCAACAATGCCCTCTGGTGGTAAACTGCAGTCAGTCAGTCTGAATGTTCATTGAAATTGATATATACAATATATACATTGAATATGATAAATAATACAAATAAATAATGGAAGCAGTAAGAAGACGATGAACAGGTTATAGTTTGTTCTTGTATAGACTATATAGATTTTAGGTTGTATAATCCAAGCTCATTACAAAAATCCTTATAAAATGGTATAGATTAAGACACTGAGTACATTTGTGAAAATAAAAATAAATAAGTTTTAGCATGTTGTCAATGCTTTTTATTTCGGTTACAATAACAAACGACGTCTTTAACAGTCAAATACAAAGGGAGCAATTTGACAATCATAAAACAAAGACACAATCACTCTTCTATTGTTTCACTTAAAAAAAAAATCTTAAATTTCTTCAACACCAAAAGTGTCTTTAATCCTATATTAAATGTTACAAACGCTACGTTTTCACTAACAAACGATCTGCGAGTTCACGCCCACATCTGCCTTCCGCCAATGAGTCTCAGTCAAACACACTGAGCTATCCAATCATAAAAGCGTAATCTACATATGCATGTATTTGGAAACGCCCCTTATCCTAACCGACCAATCAGTCTTTCGCTTCAGTCAGTCAATCAACTCTCCCCGCCCAGATTTTTTGACAGAACGGAAGCCGAGATGGGCCAAACCAGCCCATCCGGATAACAGAGACAAACTTGGCAGCGAGCGGATGAACTGGTCGGATCTTTGTTCTTCACAGACAGACTGTCAACCTCTTTATAGTTTTGCGTATCGTCACTTATATGTCTCACATTTATATCAAGATTATATAGAATACTCCTTCCCTTGGCACGCAGCTTCAGCACAGGCATATGCTTTTTGAGCTAGCATATTTTCCTAGTGTTTTTAGTTCATTCTTCCCCCCACCGACGAGGTTTTATTGGACCAAGATAGGCGGCGCGGGCACCAAGATGTCGAACCGGATGGTGTGCAGAGAAGCGAGCCACGCCGGCAGCTGGTACACGGCTTCAGGTAGAGCCAGAGACCCGAGAGCAGCCCGGGCCTGAGGTCCGGTGTGCTGCTTACACCAGTGTGTGTGTGTGTGTGTGTGTGTGTGTGTGTGTGTGTGTGTGTGTGTGTCTCAAAACCTAGTGACTTGCCTATCTGGACAGCATTTTTGGGACGTTCAGCACGCTCAAAAATGCTGCCTAGGTAGGTAGCTCACTTTGTTTTTAGGCAGAGCCTGTGCGATCAGCTGGGAATTATCAAATAGCTGTGCCTAAAATGGTTTAAAGACCACAGGGCGAGATTCTTCATAATTTGTATCTTTTTCTTAACATACGGTCTTTTAAAAACGAATTAACTTTATTTAAAATGTGAACTAAAACATATTAGCTTTATTTTGTTAGAAAATCACTTTAAAGGGATTTAATTCTGCTCAGCAATTAATCTAAATCTACAAAAAAGTGGGCCTCGGTCATGAAAAGTCATTTAATTGGTCTTGGCATTTAGAAGATTATTTAATGAATTACTTTAAATGTTAAAAATGTTTTTGTTTATTTTTTTCTGTTTTTCATTGAGCAGACAGAAAACATTTGCATTTAAATTCAAGGGCCATTATTTAAATTAACCGCACTGTGTGTGTGTCTCATATTTGCATGTTTGTGTGTGTGTGTGTGTCTGTGTGTGTGTGTGTGTGTGTGTGTGTGTGTGTTTCTATTGTAAATGTTTAGCTTTAGTGTGTGTAATAGCAGCTGAGAACGAAACAGGCCAACAGTTAGCTGGTTAGCCTATAGCCGGTGTGTGCGAATCTCTCCTACACGCCAACTACACAGACTAATACCACAGATTAATATACCATCCACGCTAATTTTACCCAGCCTTACTTTACTGGATGAGTAAATCCAGATAGATTAACTTCTGTCGCAATTCAGAAGGCTGGATTTACTCTGCTAACGGCTAAAGCTATTTGATGAAGTTCATATGACAGTTGTACACGACAGCTATGTTTTCATACATATTAAAACAATGTTTTTCATTTATATTGATGTCTGGTAAATGCTGTGTTCATTGTTATATCGGTCAGCATTTATGTACAGTTCCATTCCAGTAAATACAGTGAGCACAGTCAGCACATGAAAGTCTTCAGAGGGCTGGTGCTGTTTTTTTCCTCTCATGCAGTAACAAAGGATGCATGACAAAAGCCCAGTGCTGCGCACACACACACACTAGATCACATATTTTTACACTGTAGAGAAGTCAGTCTTGTGGCTTTTACATGATGATTTGTGTTTAGTAAGCTGTCACTATTTTTAGAGCTCTTGTTTTGTTCAAAACACACATTTTTGAGTGTTTGCATATGAAGAAGGCTCGTCTCCAGCAAATACTGTATAATGTAATGTGTTGGGAAAAAGTCTGGCGAGTCCATACATGTATAAACATGCATGTCTTCAGTTACAGTTTTCAGATAATGACTACTTGTTATTCATCTGGCAGTGATAACACTGGCCAGTTAGTTAGGAGTGTGTCAGTTGGACAAATTGTACAGACAATGTCAATGAATAATGATTATTTTGTACATAATATTATAAAAATATATTATACATATATATATATATATA